GAGACATCACTTTGATTCACAATTACAATCCCTTTTGCAATAGGTCTTGAAATTGGAACAGTTGTAGTCACAGTTGAAATAACTGGAGCAGCTGAAACAATTGTTGGCTTAACCAAACCTTTCGAAGGATAAACCTTTCCTACTACCTTGATATCTTCAATTTTTCTCTGTTCCCCAGCCTTTGCTTGACCAACCTTTCTCCCCCTTGCACCCCTGTGAAAGCAGGTGGGCATCTGATACGTTTGGCAAAAGGCTTGAAATTCGAAGCAATGGAGCAAGGTGTTTTTGTAGAATGGATTCGAAATGAATGAATTTCTGAGAAAGAAATTCTTGAGAAATAATTGGTGAGGAAACTTTCAAAGATATTTCTTGAAGTTCTTTTAGCAATTTCACCAACTCTCCAACATGTTGTTCTTCTGTAGCTGAAAAAGAGATCATCTGAGGATTGACTTGTTCGAACATCTGAACACATTGAACAACCGCATCACAAATAATATCGATCTTCTGATGTGCTGATTCATACCCTTGTTGAATATGCTGAACCTCCTTCGTCATTGTTTCACGAAGTTCACGAATTTGCATATTAACGTCTTCTCTAACCTTCTTAACTTCCTGTACGAAGAGCACATGACGCTCCTTCGTAACAATCTTCAAATCCTTCACTTCCTTCAGAAAATCAGATCTCAAAGAATTGATTCTATTCTCTGTAGAACTATCATTCTGATCAGTTTTCTCAAGAATGCGGCTTTCAGAATCACGTATTAACCCTGATGCCTTCGAAATCATCCTGGTTTCCATTTCCTTCATTATGGAATCAACTTCCATGATAGTGATTCCAGCACTTCCCATATCGCTTGAGATTGCAAGATAGAATTTAATTTTGAATTCAATATCTTGAACTGCTTCATCGTCATCAGCATATGGTCAGGGAAATCTTCTTCAGCTTTATCAAAAGAAAGAGCTTCGAATGTTCCTCCAAATCCTTCGTTATCAGTTTCCTCATCCACACCATGGTTTCAGCAACAGGTGATGATGAATTTGGTGGATCGGTTGATTGTGTTGAGAATATAGTGGTGAAAGGTTGATCCATAATAGATTGGAATGTTGGAGAATCAGTTGTGGAAGTAACCTGAGGTAAAGATGTTGGTTCAATGAGCTTTATATCATCACGCTTCGAAATTTCAGTAGACTGAAGAAGCTCTACTTCTTTAGGAATTTCCTCTTCAGGAGTCTCAGGAACTTGTTCCACTTCTTCTATACGTTGGGTTTTCTTCAAAAATTTTGCCATATCTGCAGCCCTTCGTTTCTTAGAAGATGGAGACACCGGAGCTGGAATTTCTCGAACAGTAACCCCTTGATGAGTAACCTGTGTTTTCTTCACCAACTGAGATTTGCTTTTGATTTTTAGTCTTCGAAAAACCCCCGTCTTCGAAGGAATCGTGTCTTTTGATGGAGAGGCTTCGATAAGCGGTGTATCAGCCACTGAAGTTAAAACAGGAGACACCTCTTCAACAGTTCGAGATGTAACTATTAGCTCTTGCTTCTTTTGTTCTGCTTTCACCCCTTTTTCCGAAGACTCACCTCTGTCTTCTTTGATTTCTTCGACTTCTTCTTCTCTTCTTGTTGAAACATCCCAGTAACAACAGTTGTGTCAATAGATTGCAAATATGACACCAACACATTATTCGTGGGATCCACCTTGTTGAGCATCGCATCCGGAATGCGAGCAACTGTGGTAAAGATAGCCGGATCATCATGCACCTCCTTCGGACTACCATACATGTGGAAAACTGCTTTGTCTTCGTATTTCGGAACTTTGATTTTTTCTTTCTGATAGACATATTGGACTATCAGACTCCAATATCTTGCACAAGAAATCCCCTGCTTAGCACTCGTCTTCGAAATGCTTGTTAAGAACTCTGTCCATAATTGTTCAGAGTAATCGACTTGCAAATCATAGTACAACCCAGCTATCATTGCATACACCTCCATGCGTCCTTTATCAAGTCCCACAGTTCTTCCAGTAAGACATCGAAGAAAGATGCCAAATAAAAAATTCCAGATTGTTGGTAACCCTGACTTCTTGAAATCACTGATTCGCTTCAATGGAGGTTGATGACCCATCTCGTTGAACATGAACACCACTTAAGAAGAAGAAAGTTCATCATAAGGACCAGAATTTGGAATTCCCAAAATCTTGCAAAATAACCGCTTGGAGACCCTAATTCTCGTATCAGTAACCATTGTGAATTCCACACAGCCTGTCTCCTTGTTGTATGAGGCAGTAGAACCTGCTTTTGACAAACCAGGACATCGGAGCAGCAAATGAATCAAACATTGCTTTAGACAGAACTGAATTCTGTAAAGCAACCACAAGCATGTGAAGTTCCTCCGGATACTTTGACAAATCCGATTCGACTTGATAGTTGGAACCCTGGATCTTTAGAATCGGAACACTGATTATTTCGTCTGTAGTTTGTGATGAAGTAGTCGCCATTGATGAAGATTTGAGTAAAGAACGGATGAAGAAGATGAATTGCACAGAGAATTTTGTATTTCAGAGAGTTTGATCGCATAAAGTGTGAATAAGTTCTGATTTGCCCTTTTATATGTAACCCTAGAATTTTGAATTTGAAGCGGGATGCATTAAATGCTTGCTGACATGGCACCTTGAAAAACGGAACGTACTCATCAAAAAGTAACAATCGTAACTGTCAACACGCCGTTCACGCTTAGCATACACCATGCGTCATCAAGAGATAGGACTGTTTGGTATTCCCCAAAAGAATTGTAACCGTCGGATGCCTTCGGAATAGAGGTCAGGCTCTTTCACTTTGAGGTTTTAAAAAAGCGAAGTCATTTGCCAGAATTTCGAAATCGTCAGTTTAAGTTGGTGTTACTCAAACCTCAAGGATTTCGTGTGTGCTGTGTTCCAAAAGAAATTAGATGAGAAACAAGAAAAAAAAACTTTTGAAAACTTGTGATGTCAACAATTTCTTTTTGACACAAAAACAATTTTATCCCAGGCAAAGATATCTTCGAAAATTATCAAGAGAGATAATTAACAGCTTGTTTGGTTTCCCGTGAATTACAATCGATAACTTGTAAAGAAGTTTCGAAGGGTTTCTTTTATAGGTCAAACTGGTGGCTTCAAAAATTTCGTTACATATCAACCTTAAAATAAGGTGAGAAATTGTAAACAAAATTAGTTGTATAACCAGTGTAGTCAGTGACAACTTGGTTGCGAATGATATTCAAAGTAACTAGTAGTTTGAAAATATACTCACACGGAAATCATATTCATAAAAAAAATTTATGTTGGATCTTGTTGGGAACAAACATCGTAGTTTTCGAATGTTTGATTAAGATCACTCAAAAGAAATGAATATGATTTGGAGTATAAAAGGTACTGAAACAAATGTTTCGTAAGATCTGGAACATGGTTCCCCGTCAATTCCTTAAGGTTTATGATATTTTGGGTTTCACTTCTATCACGGACTCATGATATTAGATCATAAACACAGATTTGTGATTTGTCTAGGTTTTGATTGGTTTGATCAAAGACCTCAAGGACAAATCTTCGAATATTTGGAATGTAAGAATTGTTTGGTTTAAAAAGATTGGTTAAGAATCGAAGGGTACCTCTGTTATATTGGACAAAACAGAAAACTCTTAACTCATTTGAGAAGAGTAAGGTAGCTCTTGTTGATTTATGCAAATACAAGCCTTGTTGGGTAGAAATTTTCATGAGATAATTTCATCAAGGCTTTCATCTCTCATACATAGAATCATTCGAGGCTTGAGACAACATGCAACAACATGCTTCTAGGGACATTCTAACTAATCCAAAATGTATCGAGATCATACCTTTCCTTCAAAACCAGACGCATGAATCCTTCGTATTTGAAACTTGACAAAACTCACAATACACATGTTAAAACTAAAAAATGAAAAATATTTTTGGTATTTTTGTAATTTTTCAAAAAATTAAGGACAAACTGAAACAAAATCTTTTTGATTTTTTTTTTCAATAAAAGAAAATATTTTTGATTTTTCAGGTTTTTCAAAAAAAAAAACAAACTACAAATCTAACCTTAGTTGAAATGTGTACAAATACGAAGCATGCAACCCATTGACTTGAACAATAACCTCTGATTATTTATTTCAAAAAAAAACTTCCGAATGCGAAGCGTTCGAAGCGTTGACCATGAACAGTAACCTCTGAACACTTAATCTCCTTCTTCATCCATACACCAAATGATTCAGACCCATCACTCTTCGCTTTTATCAGATTGAAGTGAATTTCCATCAATCATTCCCAATCCATCTAAGATACGAAGAAACGATTTTTCATCCAAAGCTTTTGTAAAAATATCTGCCAATTGTTCCGTTGTTTTTACAAAATGAACTTCAATATTTCCTTCTTCAACATGATCTTTGATGAAATGATATCGAAGAGCAATGTGCTTGGTCTTCGAATGCTGCACAGGATTATGACAAATTCTTATTGCACTTTGTGAATCACAATATAAAGGAATCTTTTTCATATTAATTGCATAATCTCTTAATTGACTTTGAATCCAAATTATTTGTGATGTGCACGCAGCTGCAACAACATATTCCGCTTCAGCAGTTGAGATTGAAACACATGTTTGTTTCTTCGATTGCCAACTGACCAACTTTCCATCTAGCAATTGACATCCACCAGTTGTGCTTTTACGATCAAGACTGCATCCTCCAAGATCCGCATCCGAATAGGCTTGTACAAAGAACCCTGTTTTCGAAGGATACCACAATCCTAACGAAGTAGTGCCTTTCAAATATCGGAAAATATTCTTTACTGCAGTTAGATGTGGTTCACGTGGATTTGATTGATACCTTGCACAATTACAAACAGAATACATAATATCAGGTCTACTTGCAGTTAAATACAATAAAGACCCAATCATGCTTCGATACAAAGTAATATCAACAGCTGATTTATCTAACGAAGGAGTTAGCTTTATGCCCGTTGCCATTGGTATTCGTAACCTTGTGCTATTCGTCATTCCAAACTTTTCTAACAAATTCTTCGTATATTTCTCCTGATTAATGAAGATGCCTTCCCTGTTTTGACGAATATTCAAACCCAAAAAGTTATTAATTTTGCCCATCATACTCATTTCAAATTTGCTTTTCATCAGATCTTCGAATTCTTTAGACAAAGCAGGGTCAGTTGAGCCAAAAATTATATCATCAACATAAATTTGAACAAGCATCAGATGATTCCCAATTTTCTTTCGAAATAAAGTGGGATCAACTGATCCTTGTTTAAATTTAGATTGTTTCAAAAAGGATGTTAAAGTTGCATACCATGCTCTTGGTGCTTGTTTTAACCCATATACAACTTTATCTAAAATATAAACGTGATCAGGATGTTCTGTGTTTATAAAACCTGGAGGTTGTTCAACATAAACAGTTTCTTCGAGTTCTCCATTTAAGAATGCACATTTTACATCCATTTGATAGACATCAAAATCTTTATGAGCTGCAAAAGCCAGAAAAATACGAACAGCCTCGAGTCTTGCAACAGGGGCAAATGTTTCTTCGTAATCAATTCCTTCTTGTTGAGAATATCCTTTAACAACTAGTCTAGCCTTATTTCGAATAATGTTTCCATCTTTGTCAGTTTTGTTTTTATAAATCCATTTGAGTCCAACAATTGAACATCAACAGGTTTTGGAATTAATCTCCAAACCTTGTTTCTTTCGAATTCAGACAATTCAGCTTGCATAGCAACAACCCAATCAGAGTGTTCCATTGCAACCTTAACTGTCTTTGGTTCGATTTTGGAAATAAAAACATTAAACATGCATAACTCTTGATGATTATTCAGTACCTGATTTCGTGCATGAAGTTGTGCCCTTGTCATTATACCTGCTTGTGGATCACCAAGAATTTGATCTTTTGGATGATTTCTTGTCCATTTATCCATTGGTGGATAATTAGGATCAAAATCCAAAAGTGCATCTTCGAACATTTCATCTGTTTCTGATCCAATTATGGAAATTGAATCTTCAGCATATCAAAATTTTCTTCTTCACGATTTTGATCATTCTCAAGTATAGGCTCCCCCTCAATGATTGACTCCTTTTCGATATTTTGCTCTGGTTCATTGATCGGCTCTTCTTCAAGAATTTGCTCCTCTTCGACATTAACATTTGTTGACATGTTATCTCTTTCACTATAATGCTCCCCCTCAACAAAACTATTTGAATCCAAGTGCTCCCCCTCCACTGGATCATCAGCTCGTTCATTTGGGTTTAGATTCAAATTCGAAATTGAATCATTGTTATGCTTCGAATTTTCTGATGTTTGATTATCAGTTGCATTTCTTTCTGCATCAACTGCTTGATCTGAAATACCAAAAATCGAATCATAATCAACATCATCCATTTCAATTAAATCATCTTTATTTGAAGAATTTTGCAAAATAGGATAATTCGCAAATTTATGATTAGACTTTTTAATGTAATGATCATCAAATGTCAAATTAAAAGTTTCTTCCACTTTGCGAGTTGGTTTTTTAACACTCTATAAGCAACTGAATTGTGTGCATATCCCAAGAAAATTCCTTCATCTGCTTTTGTTTGAAACTTCAAAATATTATCCTTAAGATTCATTATTAAACACCTGCATCCAAAAACATGGAAAAATTTGACATTAGGTTTTCGAT